GGGCTCCTTTCCTGTTGTCAGGGCAGCAGTGGCACTGGGGGACCTCAGTGAGGTTGGGTCTGAGGCCTGGGGTCAGGGCCCTCACCCTCCCTTCCCTTCTCCTCCCAGAGCTGCCTTCTCAGACCTTCATCTTCATCATCATGGGCATCGCTGGGGGCCTGGTTCTGCTGGGAGCTGTGGCTGGAGCTGTGATGTGGGGGAGGAGGCGCTCAGGTGGGCAGGGGTGGGGTCTGAGTGTCTGTCCCACTGGGGGTTCAAGCCCAGGTAGACGTGTGTCTGCCTCATTCACGGGAAGCACCATCCTCACGCGTGTGATGGCCAGTGTGGGGCTCTGTGCACACACTTACTCCTTACTGAGGCCCGTGGGATAATGAGGGACCCACTTATCACCTGATAATGCTGGTGGTGGAGACCCCATGTCCAGCAGCCCCAGGTCAGAGGGCAAGTCTCTGCTGAGCCCAGACCTCCAGGAGGGCAGTGGGTCCAGTCCCCACACGTGGGAGAGGAGGCGCTCAGGTGGGCAGGGGTGGGATCTCAGTTTCTTGTCCCACTGGGGCTTTAAGCCCAGGTAGATGTCTGTTCTGCCTTTTTCGCAGGAAGCATCATCCCACGCGTGTGATGGCCATTGTGGGGCTCTGTGCTCACACTTACTCCTTAGTGAGGCCCGTGGGATAATGAGGGACCCACTTATCACCTGATAATGCTCGTGGTGGAGACCCCGTGCCCAGCAGCCCCAGGTCATAGGGCAGGTCCCTGCTGAGCACAGACCTCCAGGAGCTATGCTCAGGCTGCCAGTGAGTATGGACGGGTGACCCCTGAGACCTTGTGGCAGTCCAGATAGGAGCCATGGGGGACCCCATACCCTTAGTTCCTCCTTAGTCTCCTGCCCTGGGGCTCTGACCCTCTCCTGGTGTATCCCCCCTCCTCCCAGACAGTGACAGCCCCCAGGGCTCTGTTGTGACAGTCCAGACAGGAGCCATGGTGGACCCCATACTCCTTAGTTCCTCCTTAGTCTCCTGCCCTGGGGCTCTGACCCTGTCCTGGTGTGTCTCCCTCAGGCACTGACAGCACCCAGGGCTCTGATGTATCTCTCTCACTTTCTAAAGGTGAGACCCTGCCGTGGGGAGGGGTGGGCAGAGGGAAGGACTGGGTGGTGGGGAGTCTGTGGGAGCCTGTGAGCATGAAGTGAACTCTGAGAATGTCACCAGTTACAGCCACTGACCTGAATCTGTTCATGATGCTTGTCCTCCACAGCGTGAGGCGGCTTCCTTGTGGGGACTGAGTGATGGAAGATGTGTTCAGGCTCCTACTTTGCTGGGGTGACTGGCAGACCCTGAGCGACGGATGAATGATGGCTCTCACACATTTTCTGTGAAAGGGAGGCTAAGGCACTGCTTGGCTGTCACTGCCAAGTCACCCTGTTCACCTGCCTCCTTTGGCTTTTATTGTCATAACCGCTTGAACTGAAATTAATCTCCGGATACAATCTGCAGGGTGCGCATCCTTGAGAAAGCACCTGCTTCTACAAGGTCGGGTCCAAAACACTGAGCATAGAGATTCTAGCAGAACACCGGGGGATAGACTTGTTTCAACAAGTCCAGGTAGGGGCTGCTGCCTTAGGCAAAGTCCCCTCAGAGGCCCCCACCTGTCGCAGAATCCTCCCTATAGACATTCCAACCACGTCCCGTGCTTCCCCACACCAGTTCCTGACTCAGGAACCTCTGATTGGGGGACTGGCCCAGCCCTGCTTCCCACACTTTCCTGTGGGCAGAGGTGGGCTGGGCCCTCCCCATCCCTGTCTTTACTCTCTGGTGCTCTGGGCTGCAACTTCCTGCTCCGTATTGAAATGAGGTTCTGGATGTGACTTTGTTCATTTCTTGCCATGAAGGGTTGGTGGGTAAATTAAAAGAGAAGATTCTAATTTTGAGGGGAAATAAACATCAAGAACTTTCCAGAGCTCATGTGTTTGCCATGCAGGACCTTGTCCCCAGTGGGGACAGGAAGGGCTCTGAGGATGGGGCGTGGTCGGGGCCTGTGCCCAGGTGGTGCTCAGTGCATCGTGGGCTTTGACATGGTCACTCCTCGGCTGGGTCACCTCTCTGCTCCTCTGACCTTGTCCCTCAGTAGAACCTTGTCCCACGGAGACCTGTGGTCACAGGGACACACATCCCCCAGGCCTTGTCACATGTCCTAATGCATCATCTCTAGGACCCTGGACAGCGATGCCTTCCTAGGGCAGGTCAGCCTGGGTCAAGCCAGGAACCTGCCCCCAGCACCCATCCTCTGAGTGTTTATTGCTTCTTTGCTTTTGTAGATATTATGCCTGTTATTATTCTCATGTGTGAGTTATGGTCTCATTATCTGGGTGTCCCCCATTTAAAAGCAAAAGGGTACCTGTTACCCGTCATTGTCCCGCAGGCCCAGGGGTCCCTGTACACAGGACTCTGTGGTGTGGAGAGATACATTTCAGGCTCCTCCTGCTCTTGCCTCCTTCTAGGGCCTGAACCTTCCAACCCTCTGATCAGCTCGGTCTTTCTGGAGACCAGCCCCCACCCTGAAGCCTCCAGGACCCTCAGCCAAGAGCCATCTCATCAGCGTCCCAAAGACGCCTGTCAGTCAGGAGATGCCCAGGCTTTTAGGAGCTCAGTGCCAGGCACCGGGAGCAAAGAGCACGTTCTTTTACTCCACAGGTCTCTGCCCACAGATCCACTAATAACCAAAGTGTCCCACTAGTTAAGGATGCTGGCATCTTACTAGAGTCTCACTCACTCATGAACAAGAATCCATTCCATCCTATTGAGGATGGTTACATGGTCCATACATTTATGAAAATTGCCCAACAGATTTAGTGAGAGGGGAACTCAAGTTCAGCCACAATGTGACATTGGTGCCCACCTCCCAGGATAGTAAAAATGAAAGAGTCAGACAAAGTTAATTGTTAGCACGAAGTTGGGCTCATTGTATCTCTCGTATATTCCTAGTGGGAGAGTAAGTTTTTCCAAATACTTTGAAAATGGTTTGGCAGCCCTCACTACCCAAGCATTCGCTCACCCAACGCCCCAGCATTTCCACTCCTGGTTATATCCCCGATAGACACACATACATATGTGTGCAAAACATATGAAGAACTTATTCATAGCTGCACAGTTTGCAAAATCTGCATGTGAGACAAATACACATGAGCTGTAGCGGAGAACGAGTGTGGTGTGTTCATAGACTAGAACCCTCACAGCCCTGAGAGTGAACGCGCTACAACCACAAGCACCAGTGGGACAAGATGGGACCTGATGTGGAGAGAGAGCAGGTGCAGAGAGGCTGCCACTGTGACATTTCGTTCTCACAAAAGCTGACATAACTCACCTGTGGTGTAGAAACCAAGGTCATGGTGAGTTGTATGGGGGCAGTCAATGACCAAATAAGACATGAACAGGGCCGGCTGGGGTGCTGGAATGTTCTGTGGGTGTTGTTGACCCCACCTTCACCCTGGGAACATCCACTGGGCAATTAGCATTTGTCTCCCTCTCGCTCTGGGCATGCTCCGTAGGCTTCTCATCTATTATGTAAATTTTCTCTTTCTTATTTCACCCAGTTTCCCATTTGTCCTAGTTTATTTCTCTACTTTAAAGAATGTTGTGGGTATCTCTTCCTGTCCTAATTATTCTCCCCTAAATCCTGTCTGTGTGTCAGGAATAATTCTTTGTGAGGAGATCCTCAAAAAAGAGAAATGGGCAGAGGAAGAGGAGGAGGAGGAGGAGGAGGAGGAGGAGGGGAGCTAGTGACTCTCTAGTGAGGGACAAAGAGCATGACTGTGTGGGTGACTAAGGAAGCACATCATGGTCCCTGTGGGGTTGTGTGGACATTAGGGACTCCCCGGAGTCTGAGAGCGTTAGCACAGCTCACCTGGGACAGTCTCCATGTTTAACATCCCTGGGGCCTCCGTAGGAAGGACCGTGGCATTTCCCTCAGGAGAGAGACCAGCTTCCTGCCCCGGTGGAGAGGCTCAGCCTGCGCCCATCCTGGTGTCAGCCTGACCTTGGGACCAGGGGAGCCCTGAGGACGGTGCCCACTTGGGAATGGTGTGTGATTGTGCAATGAATGGAGGAGGGGGGACGTGATGCAGCCGTAGGTTTCAGTTCTCCCCAGAGAACAGCTTTGACTCGGCACTTAGACCCGACCGCAGGGAGCATAGGCACCTTTTCCTGCCCATTGTTCAGCTGCTCATCAAAACCATCTGGTTGATTGCCAAATTACCAATAACCCTACAGCGGCTGGTAGATATTGGATTGGATGGGTAGATGGATGGATAGATGTGTGGGTGGATTGATAGATGGGTGAATGGATGGATGGATGGATTGATGGATGGATGGGTGGATGGATGGTTAGATGGATGGATGGGTGGATGGATGAATGGATGGATGAGTGGATGGATGGATAGATGGGTGGTGGATTGATAGATGGGTGGATGGATGTCTCCCGTCCTCTTCGGAGACATCCCAGACTCTCCGTGCAGACAGTCCATGCTCCATCCTGTCTCAGGTCAGCTCTAAGGGGCTGTTCCCAGCATCCATCCATCCATCCATACACCCACCCATCCATGCATCCACCCATCCACCCATCCATCTACCCACCCACCCATCTATCTACCTGTCAGTCCATCCATCCATCCATCCATCCATCCATCCATCCATCCAACCATCCATCCATCATTAAATGAAGGCAGT